AAAATTCTCCAACCTCTGTCATATTTTTAGTATGCATTATTATAGTCAGAAGATCTATATTGCAACTCGATGAAAGTTATAGAATTTAATATCTGTCCATTCTTGAGAACTGATTTATTAGGTATAGCAAATTTGTGTTTTTTCCTATCATGACTACACATGAAATGTCATTTAAAATTTACTTATAATCTGAGGATTTAAAAACTCTTAATTGTACTGCAAAGCTACACTAGAAAATAAGTTTTCTTGTCCAAAAACTACATAGATTAATGGCAGGGTGTGCACTGTTACTTATTTTGATGGACATTTTTCCAGTTTTGTATGTTTTTTAAACATAGTTATCTCATTTATTGCCATGTCCTTATGTTTGCCCTGAACATTATATTACAATAGTCCCCTAATCTACTATTTTGTTGTCTCTAGTTTTAGTTACCCGTGGTTGTGTTCCAAAAATAGTCATTGGAAAATTCCTGAAGTAAATGATTCATTAGCTTTAAATTACATTCTCCTTTGAGTAGCATAATGAATCATTGTGCCATCCCACTCCATTCACCCTGGAAGATGAATCATTCTTAGCCCAGGGGATATATGCCATATAGGATACCAGCCCTTTAGTTACTTATTAGTCTTCTCAGTTATCTCAGTGACCACTGCAGTATCTCACTACTTGTAGGGTTGAGCACCATTAATGATTTCCAGCAACCCCAGGGGACTTTGAAACGTATCCCCCACAAATAAGAAGAGACTTGCATTTTATAGAGACTTACATGATTCTCATAAATACTATTTTAATGTAAAATGTTTATGAATTTTATTATTTAAAAATTTTTAACAATGTCTTTGACATTTTATTTTTCATATAGTATATTTTTTACAGTTACTTTCTAGAAATAACATTTCTGGATCAAATGATATTACCATTTTAAAGCTTAAAATACATGTTTAAAATTATGTTCCTCAAATTTTACACTACTACCAGCAATATTATGGAAATATTTGTTTTGACATCATTTTATTGCTTTAGTTAATATAATTTTCAATGATCATTTACTAGTTTAATGGTTGTTTAATGCAGATATTTTAAAATTAATATAATCTAAATGTCTAATGAAGTTAATAAACATTATTAAGAAGAATAATTGTTTTTCTATTTTCTGTGGTTTTTGTCTGTTGCACTGTTTTCCTTTTTATTTTTTTGGCTATTTAAGGGTTTCTTTCTACCTTAGAATATTTCCTGCTACTCGACAATAAAAATATATTTTTCCTTAATATATGTTAATTGTACATAAATGAGTTAATAATTTATTACTACTGAACCTAGAACCTGTACATAAATGAGTATGGAATTCATTACTCCTAAACCTAGAACCTATATCTTTTCAAAAATTACTAAATAATTACTGATATAGTCACTTGTAATTTTCCTATAGTTGGAATGTTTATTTCACTTTTTAAAACACAAAGACTTTGACTTAGTGGAAGCTGAGATAAAATAATAAGCTGAGATAAAATAACTGTTTTTCTCAGAAAGTTAATTGTCCAGATAATGTTATTTTTAAGAATTCTGTATCTTAATGGATTTAAAGAGAACATTTAACACAATTTTTAATGATTGGATATTGTTTCTCAATAAATTATAGAGTCTAATATAGTAAGGATCAAAGTGTACACATAGATTTAACAAAAATTAAGGTCCCTATGATAGTGCCATTTTTTCTTTAAATAACACAATACTCAAGATATAGAAGCCACTACATAAATGTTAGGTAAATAGATAAAAAAAAAAGTGAGTGAGCAGGCGTGGTAGTCCATGCCTGTAATCCCAGTGGCTCAGGCATGAGGATCACAAGTTCAAAACTAGCCTCAGCAATTTAGCGAAGCCCTAAGTAACTTAGTGAGACCCTGTCTCATAACAGATTGTGGATGTGGCTCACTGATAAGCACCCCTGGGTTCAATCCATGATATAAAAAAAAGGAGTTAGTAAAATTTTGTATAAATTAATTATGCTTTAACATGATTATGTATCATTTGATAATTTCACCATTCTTATTAAGGCATTTTTATTATTTTTAAAATTAAACATTTTAATTAGTCTTTCCTTTGAGTGAATTCTGGAAATAGTTTGTTTCCAGAATAATTTTTCATTTATTTTTAATTCTCTAAAATATATGTAACATAATGTTTGTTATTTCAACAGTTTTTGTGTACACAGTTTATTGTCCTGATTGATTGACATTGTTGTCCAACTATCATCACAATCTGTTCCAAAAGTCTTCATCACCCCTGACAGAAACTCTGAAACCACAAAACAGTTACTGCTCTTTGTCCTATGTCACATATTAGGTTTCTAAAAATTATGTCTGCTGTCCACAAGAGACTAACATGAAGTCTAAAGACACAGATGTTTGCAAAGGAAATGATGTGAGGAGCATCCATGCAAATACTTACTACCCAAAGGGGAGTTGGCTATTTAATAGAAAAGGAGAACTTTAAGTCATTGCTACAAGAGACAAAAAGACTTTATATTATAAAATGGAACATTTTACAATAAGCTACAACAATAATAAACATAAAATCCATGCACTCAATACCAGATCCCCAAAATATATGAGCAAAGTGACAGAATCGAAGGAAGAAACAATTCTATAATAATAGTTCCATACTTGGATACCTCTACATAAATACTTGGATAACCAAACAGACCAATCAAAGTCTCAGTAAGTTATTTTGTGGATGTCAACAAACTGACTCTAATGTTCATATGAAAAGGCAGAAGATCTAGATGGAATTAAAGAATTTGAGTAAAGTTGGTGAACTGCCATGACTTGATTTCAAGACTTACTATAAATCTACATAGATGTTTGTAAGAGAAATGATGAGAAAATATATTCCAAGCAAATAATAGCCAGAGTTATCTATACAGTGTGATAATAGTGAAAAAAAATAGATCAGTAGTACAGATTAGGGAGCACAGAAATAGACCCTCATAAATATAGCCAGATGATATTTGAAATAGGACCGAAGGCAGTGCAGTTGAATGTATAGTCTTTTCCGTAAATGGTCCTGAAATAACTGACCACCCACATGCAGAAAAATGAAGCTTTTGCATTAATTATGGAAATTAATATTTAAGAGCAAATGTGGACCGAGGTTCTGTCTTATCATAAGCTCATCTGATTTATTATTTATTCAATAAAAATGAGTGAACTAATGACCTTGGTTATATACTATGCATCACACAAATTCTGTATTTTACATCATTTCTTTATGAAATGACAGAATATCATTTTACCTTGATTGTCACTGTCATTCTCATGTTTTAGTCCAATTCCAGTATTACTCCTTTGATGAATAATGTCAAAAATATAAAATTACTTGAGATAAAAATAAGTTCTCAGAAAGTTTCATTGATTCCCTGTAACAAGATGAAAAGAAGAAAAGCATTCACCTCTATTGAATAGCATGTGAAAATGTACAGTCCGAATGTTAGTCATTGTTACTTTCTTTCATTTAAAGTCTCATGTTTCCAAAAGAAGACCAGGATTAGAAAACTGGAATAGCTAAACTGAAAATATTACCATGAATTAATTTCACATCTATGAACATTTACTAATGTGCAATTGTTGGTTGGAGATAAATGTTTGCTCATCCATTTTCATTTGCCCTTAAATATATTCAATGCAACCTCAATTAATCTTATTTTCTCCATGCCAGTGTGAGATTATTATAGTAAACAGACAGTATATTGGGGATCATTTTTTAAATATTACTGGAGAGGAAAATAGTATTTTCTCATTGAAAAATCTGCTTGAAAAGGTTAAAAGCCTTTGAGAAAGATGGATTTAAATGGCCAATGTAATGCTAAAATTTATTTTCATAATATGCTTAATTTACAATATTAATGTGTTCATGTGTGCATATATGCATATTTATGTACTTTTTAATATATGTATATCTTGTTTCTCTACAATTTTATCAGAGACAATAACAAAACTGCCCCAAGAAAACATCCAAACATCCAACTACCATAAATGTGTTTCCTTGAATTATTTAGAAACCACAAGAAATTATTTTTAACAAGAGCATATTTTGTTGAATGTATTTCTTTGTAATATATACTGATGTGACAAAGGTGGTAAGATAACTTACCTGGTGTAATGAGACAAAGGTAGTAAGATAATTTAAAACCACCTGGTATGTGATATGTTTTAACACAACTGTGTAGTTTTCCAAGTTAATGATTTATGCCATTTGTATTTAACATTGGGCATGCATATTTTAAATTGTAGTACATGCCAAAGAACAAAATGCTTCATTTACTTTTAGACAATAAGATTTATAATATAGAAGATATCAGAAATAACAAAAATATACAGTTTTCACTTATTTCCAATTTAACCTTCATGTATTTCCTTTTTGCTACTTGTAAAAGCTACAGATTTTTGTTGTTTTTAGCTACAAAGAACTGTATTTGTGGATTACTGTATTTCAGAAAGAAGTTATATTTTTAAAGACATTATAGACTCAATGAGGGGGTCTATAAAATTCGTATTCTTATTTAATCTTGTGAGTTCACCATGTAAGTTTTTATAATAATTATTTATTAAAGCTGATACGTCATTTTGAAGAAGCAATAAGGTCAATACTTTGGGCTTCAAGTGAAATCTCCAGAATCATCAAATCATAAATACTTCATGACTCACATTGTTGCGAAACAAAGTCAAAATTGTTTCCTGATTAAATATGACATGATACTGAAAATAATTAATTTATATATTTTTGCAATAATTATTTCATGGGTACAGAAGTTATTTCTGAAAATTAAAGAATATATTGAATTAAATTATACCCTTTGATAAATATATTTTAATTTACCTTTCATTATCAGGACATATTAGTAACTTTATGTGTTTTTACTATTTAAAAGGTAATTATTTCTTGGCTGAATGCAGACATTAATTATACTGACTTGCATGTGTTTCTCTTTTTTTCCTTTTAGGCTGTACTTTGGAGGTATAAATTTTCTCAGCTTAAAGGTTCTTCAGATGATGGCAAGAGCAAAATCAAATTTTTGTTTCAGAATCCAGATACTAAACAGATTGAAGCAAAGGTAAACACGATAAATTTATCACATACACACGTCTAATTACACTAATGCTATTAAGAAGCAAAAGGGAGAAAATTTAGAAGAACCAAAGAAACAAAAACATATTCTCCACTTACCTTGAAACATCCCTCATGGCCAATAGAATAAAATCACTTCAAGATTTTAATGATAAACATCCACTGAAAGGCGTTGCTTAAAATAAATTACACACAGTTAATTGCATTTCTTACTTTTAATTCCTCATGCACTGCATTTGTATCACACTAAAATAACATTTTGAAAAGTAAATACGTCACTTGGTGGTTTCACATTCTAATTAAGTAATTTAAAATACTTAAAAAGATGAATTCTATTTTATCATTATTTATTCTCCCCCAAAATAAGAATACAAAGTCCTACAGAAACTGATTTAGTAAATAAATGCATTTCCCCAGTGATCTATGTGTTAAGCAAGATGAGTTAAATGAATGACTTTTGACTTTGCCCCTTGTGCATTTTTAGTACTCTGGAATATATTAACTATGCTGCTTTTAACTCTTTAGAAAGATGCATTATTTTTATTTTTATGAGTATGTCTATTTGCAAATATTCAAAATCTAAATTATTTACATCACCCTACTATGAGATTCATAATGACAATATTTTGGTTAGCATAAAACATAAAAATACCTCTTTTGTGTAAGAATGTATAAAATTACAAACACCAAAGTGAAAAATTAATCATGTGGTTGTTATAACTCAATATAACTTTCAACAATGAATTAAAATTATTATTATAATTTTTTACCTTCCTTTACTTACTAAATTCAGGATCAAAGTCTTAGCCTGACATTCAAAGACTTCCAAGGTCTGGCCTATGTGATAGTATAGACAAAGGCTTTTGAATGGCTGCTCGGTATTCAGTTCAGACATATTTACTCCTTCTTTTATCAAGATGAACCCTTCTTTGCCTTATATATCTCCTAATGCTTTTCTCTTAACTTTTCTCTTCAACTCTGATTTGAGCCCCTCTGGGAATATCCATTCTTGTTTTATATCATTCTTTGCCTTTAGTATTTCTTTCTGGAGTGTATATTGAAGGAGGGACTGGTGGATGCACTTCCCTTATGCTGGATCCTTCATATTGTATTTCTCTAAAGCAATAATATTTCCATGACCTTGCCTTATATTTATATGTCATCAGTTTAGACAAATGCCTTGATGACTTTATCCACTTCCTTTAACTTGTCTCATAACTTTCAAATCTACATTCCCAACATGGCCACCTCCCTAAACACAGGCACATCTTCTCTCTGTCTTGTCACTACTCCGCCCTTCTCCCCATCAGCTGCCAGGAATGGATCATTCACTTTGTGCCAGCCAGTTATATCACTCTTTAAATCAGTTCTTAGTGCTGCTATCAAAAAATGTATTGCAGTTGTGAACTATTTACTTTATATATTTACTTTATTAATGTATTTACTTTAACTACTTACTTTTTATATTTACTTTAGCTCTTGGTAGATTTTTCAATATTTCAAAGTATGGCACATATGCTAATACTGATGAATTCATGTTACTATCAGTTCTGTATTCTTCAAACTAATGGGAAACCTCAACCATGAGTTGCTGACAGCAGTATAGTATTTATTTGATTTTTGTTTATTAGATTTCTAATCCTTTTTAGAAAAATTTTTAAATAGTTTTTTAGTTGTAGGTAGACACAGCACCTTTATTTTGTTTATTTATATGTGACACTATATATACACAGGTGAGCACTCTACTGCTGAGCCACAACCCCTTTCTAACACTTTGAATGAACTCAGAAACCTTTATCACACGATGGAAAAATTAGAAATTTAATAAAATGGCCATTATTTAGTTTTTGCTTTAATATAATATTTATTACATAATGCAGCTATGCAGATGATTATATTTATTTGTTACTTACCTGAAAGTCACTAAATGTTATTCTCATTATTCTTGTGTTTTAAAGCTTTATTTTATAATTTCATTCATTGTGAACAAATTTTAAAATTAAGATATTTGGTTACATATGATTTTCAAATTTATAGGTAGCAATTGTGAAATGAAAAAACAGTCTTAAAAATAATGAGTGACTACAATATTTGGTGAGTTAATGAAGATACTTTTTGGGGAATAGGTACCATGGATTGAACTCAGGGGCACTCAGCCATTGAGCCATGTCCCCAGCCCTATTTTGTATTTTTTATTTAGAGACAGGGTCTCACTGAGTTACTTACTGCTCACTTTTGCTGAAGCTGGCTTTGAACAAATGATCCTCCTGTTTCAGAATGAAGGTCTTTAAAGTCAGCATCTCTCTGTATAAAATAAGGAAAATAATACCCCCCAGGGTAACATAAAAAATACCAAATTAAAAATAAAGGCCATATAGCAAGTGAAGTCACTGATCAATCAGAAGGGTGGCAAGCTATACAGACTCTTTAAAGCCACCTTCTAAGTACCTCCAGACTATCACCTCTGCTAATATCAGATAAATTGTATAAGAATTAAAATTAGAGCATTTGCTAACTTTTTTATATTCTGTGCAACCGCAACTTATAAGTAGTAAACTAATGTCCAAACAGAACCAAAAATAAGATTGTAGATGTTTATGTGTGGGCATAAGTTTTCACTGAATAGTATAAATGTACAGAATTACAAATTGCTGGACAATAGTTGTTTAATTTTAAAGAAAATAGCTAACTTAAACTCCAGAATGGCTGTGTCATTTTATATGCCCACCAGCAATGTATGAGACTTCAGTTTCTCTGCATTCTTGCCAGTAAGTTACATTGTCACTACCTTTTATTTCAGATGTTCTAATCATAGTTTTAAACAATGCCTAGTAATTATAAACAATTTTACATGAGTGTTTTCTAGTCCATTTTTTAAATTAGATTGTTTTCTTTTTTTTTTGCCTATTTTCTAATTGTATCATTTGATTTTTTGTGCTATTTTTCTGTTAATGATGCTAGAGACATTTTAATTTACTAGCGTTATTTTCTGTTGTTTTCTGTAATCAATTTAATGAATTCTGCTTTCTCACTTGCTTTTTATTTTTGCTACTATTGTCACTTTGGCTTTATAGAATTTGAATGAATTAGACTTTTTTCATTTAAAAATAAACTTTTAAAAATTATTTTTTGAATGAAAATTTACCTAAAAAAGGGCTGTTTTAGGTACCCAGAAAAATTAAGTAGAAATATAGCAATTTCCCTTTTGTTCCTCTCCCAACACAGGCAGCATGTCTCCACTATCTACAACCTACAATGGTGTGGCATGCTTGTTACAATCATTGAAACTTCATTGACACATCATTATCTCCAAGAATCCATTGTTAATATTAGGGTTAAATTTTAGTATGTGCAACACCAAGAGTTGCCCCTAATGTGGAACATACAAAGTTGATTCACTGGTCTGAAGATCCTCTGTGCCCTGTCAGATCAGCCCTACCTTCCAGTGACCTTACAATCACTGATCTTTCACAGTCTCCCTAGTTTAACTGTTTAAAACTTTTGTAAGTTGAAACATACAGTAGATATTCTTTTCAAGTTGATTGTTTTTACTTGGTAAAATGACTTTCTATGACATTTATTTTCAGTACTGAATAATACAGTATTCCATTTCCTGGATGTATCACAGTTAATTTATCCATTCACTCAGTGAAGGACATTTTGATTACTTCTGAGTTTTGGAAATCAGTTATGAATAAATCTGCTTTAAGTATTCATTTTTTGTTTTTTGTGTGTACAGAAAATTTCAATTCTTTTGGAAAATAAGTACCAATTATTGATAGATCTTAGGGTAAGGCTGTTTCATTTTTAAGAAATTGCCAACTTGTCTTCCAAAGTGAAAATTTTTCATTCACTGCAGCAATAAATGAGTGTTCCTGTTGCTCCACAAACTAGTCAGCATTTGGTTTTGTCAGTGTTTTAAATTTTGAGCATCTAACAGATGCTTCATGGTATCTCATTGGTTTGATTTTCATTTCACTGAGGACAAATGATGTAAAGCATGTTTTAATGAGCTTATTTTTCACCCATACATTCTGTTCTGTATAGCTGATATTCTGTTACTGTTTTAGACACTGTAATTCCCAAGTGCTGCAGAAGGACCCAGGGTCTGGTACGTGCTAGACAAGTACTCTGCCTCTGAGCCACATCCCCAATCCCAAAACACTCCAAATTGGGGTGTCTGTTTTCATATTGTTCATTTTATCAGTTTTTTTGTATGTATTTAGATTATTTTTTTTTCATCTGAAGAAGTCTCTTTTCTGTCTTCTGTAAATATTTTATCCTTATCTGTGACTTTGCATTCTCTTTCTTCATAGAGAAGAAAGGTGGTTTCTCATTTCTTTAATTGATGGTGCCTTTTGTGCATATATAAAAACTCATTTACCAAACCTAATCTGTATTTTCCCATATGCTAACTTCCAGCAATTTTACAGTACCACATTTTACATTTGGGGCTGTGATTTATTTTGAATTAAATTTTGTAATGTGAGATCTATGTCTGGATTTATTTCTTTCCTTTGCCTTGATAGTAGATGCACAGTTATTCTGGTATTGTTTGTTGAAAACTCTATATTTTCTCCATTCTCTTGCTTTTTGGCTCCTTAATCATAGATCTGTTGACAATATTGTGTGATTCCATTTCTGGGCTTTCTATTCTGTCCAATTTATCTCTTTATCTATGCTCTTCTCAATATTACACTCTCTTATCACTACAGCTTTAGAGTATTTATTAAAGTTGAGAACTGTGAATATTCTAAATTTGTTCTTGTCTTTTGATATTATGTTGAGTTTTTAGGGTTTCTTGCCTCTTCATATACACTTGATATTTTTTTTTCGTTTTCTTTTTCTATCAGAATTTTAAACTTATCCATAGTAGTTGGGTTCATCCTAACAAACTCGTACCTGCATGGAATTCAATGTTGGTTCACTATCCTCCCTGTTTCTCTCACCTTTTTTTCCTCGTGTCCTCCTTCTCACCCAATATAA